AGTCACAGCGCGCGCCCGCCGGCCTCCGCCTCCCTGCACCCTGGCCGTGGGAAGACCTCGGGCGGCTGTTCTGACCTGGGGGGCGGCCCGCAGCCCACGTTCCACGGAGGCTGCGCTTTCTACCCACTTCCATTCCGCTGTCCAGGCTTCCTGTCCTTGAGGACTCGAGCCTCGCGTGCCTTAGACGGGAACTCCAGGAGGAGCCGTAGGAAGAGAAAAGAGAAGGGGGTGGCGAATTCTGTTCAGACTCATCTTTTCCTCTGTTGCTTTTGGTGACCTCTTGGTGAAACCTGAGGGAAAGGAGTCTGCCAAAATACTCTCCAGGCAGGTGTAGACATCGACATCTGGCTACCAAATCAATGAGGGAAACCTGAGAAATGATTTTTGTGCCGGTTATTGACTTACTACCTCGCAACTGAAAATTCACCCTTTTTGACTGCGCTGTGAAAATGGATCTGGGCCTTTTAAAGTAAGTTTTCCTTCGCCAGCAGGGTCTGAAGCTTTGTCAGTAGATGGAGCTGAAGGGACATTACAGCGGGGAAAAGGAGTTTTCTTCTTGGTTTTGTTTTATTGGTAGGCAAGCTCTTGTAGCATACCTGGGTGTCTCCAGTGCCAAGCTCCTGTAGTGCTGGGGGGCGGGGGGGCGGCAGCAGTTTTTTTTCTCACGTCCCCAAAGCTAGGTTTTGTAGTGAAAGGCGTAAAGTGGGACACTACCCTGTAAATGGCTTTCCAGGCACGTAGAGACCAATTTTGAAACAAATTCCAGAGGCAGATTTCCAACGAGTTATGAAGGTGTGACATCACAATGACTTCTCTGCCATTCAGTGAGCCAGGCTGTTCCCTCTTCAATAAGGACTGAATCTTAGCCCTGGAAGGGGCTGGGGGAACCTCTTCTTTGAGAACTCTATTTCCCAGCCCAAGGGTTAAAGTTAGCCCTTTAGAGCTGCTATTTCTGTATTCTCTAGGATTCTCTTCTCACTAGTGAATCTCTCATTACTTTAATCCCTTATTGTAGTTAATAATTATTTTTATTAAGCATTTTATTTTTATTAAGTTTTACCTGTTGTCTCCAGCTTATTTGGTTGATTCGTACAAACTTGGACTTAGTGGTGGCCTACAATTTGTGAGGTTAAGATGCCAGAGCTTCCCTGATATGATGTGGAACAGGGAATCCAAAAGTTTGAGACTTATATGGAACCTGCAAACCCATCTCTCGACTATATTCCATGCCAAGGCGCAGAAGACACTCCCTTCACTGAATAATTGAGAAATACATTAGTGAGATGTTCCCCTCTGTAGGCCATGTATGACTATAGAGGATGCCATTATTGAGATGGGCTCCTTGATTTCAGTGGGGAGGACAGGATCCCGAATAGCAGAGTCCAAGCATTATTTAATCACCAGAGATAATGTGGGTACATCTGCCTTTAAGGGCAGCAGTTGTGTATAGACAATCAGACTGCCTTGGTCCACACAGATGGCCTAGGAACAAAATAGATAGGTTGCATAATACTAATAGAGTACTGCTTGATATTTATAACAGGAAAAGTTCTAAATCAAGTGACTAAAACCTGACATGAGTCACCACAGTGGGTAATTACAGCCTCTTGCTCAGTTTTCAGACCTAAATAATTCACAGACTCTGAACCCCTTGATTGAAGGAGGGTTTGGGTCCCCTTTCGGAAGGACCTTACACCACTGCCACCAGTACACATTGTAAATGTTCCCCCAAATCTTCCCCCAAAAGATATGTGGCCATTTACTAGAGTGATGGTGCATTGGAGACAAGGAAATACGCAAATCTTTTGAAGTTTACTGGACACTGGCTCTGAACTGATGCTAATTCTTAGGGACACAAAACACCATTGTGACCCTCCAACATACTTGGAGTTTATCATGGTCAGTAGACAGAGGAAGTCTTTGCTCATGTCCAACTCACAGATGGTTCAATTCGTTCAGTTGATCCGCATACCTGTTGTGTGGTTATTTTCTCAGTCCTAGAACTGACACTAACTACACATTGGCTTCTTATCCAGAGTTCGAGGCCCATTACAATACAAAGATCTAAGTGGGAAGTTCCTGGAACTTTTGCTCCCTTCCAAAATAGTAAACCAGAAGCAACTAATGCTACCATAAAAGATTCGAAAGAAGCAGTTAAGTCATATTCCCACTTAACTCACTGGATTGGCCAGTGCAGAAGTCATATGAATCTTGGAGAATGACTTTGGACTGTTATAAACCTAATTATAGGAGGTAATTTCAATTGTGGCTGCTGTTTCAGATGCAGTATTTTTACTGAAACAAATCAACATAGCACCTGGTAAACAGCTATTGACTTGGCTAATGCCATCTTCGCTATACTAATTTATAAAAACCACCAGAAGCAGCTGGCTTTTACTTATCAGGGCAACAGTATACCTTCGCATTACATCCTCTGTGGTTTATCGATTCTTCTTAATATAGTCTACAGAGATGTTGATCATACTGATATTCCACAAAATACTACACTGGTTCATTTTGGTTGCTCATAATGAAAACATTATGCTGATTAAATCTGATGAGCAGGTGGTAGCAGGTATTTTAGATGCTTTAGTAAGATATATTTGAACTAGAGACCAACTATGAGGTGACAACTCTAAAGTCCTGGCAAGGCCTGTACCTCAAGGGTGGGGTAAGTTCAAGGATAGTAAAACTATACAAGGAAAAAGCCACTGAGAGATGAATCCAAGCAAATGGTGTGGGTTAGATATGAGGATGGGTAAAAAGAGTGAAGTGATTGCTGCAGAGACTGGTCATACCAATCATGTGGCTATGAAAGGACAGCAACAATCCAGATGGTAGGAAAAGAACACCCTAAACCCTGGGAAATCAAGATTTGGGAGAAGAATCACTAACTTCTCTCGACTCTTACCTCAAGGACACTTGGCCTGGCCTGTCAACTCAGAATGCTTTGGTAACTACCCATTCTTAACTTAGATCCTAGATCCTTAGATCACAGGACTTAGATCCTCAGTCCTTAGATCTTAAACTAAGGGCTGTTGACCTTTCAGGTGGATGACCTCCACCCGAGATGACAGACATTGATATGGTTCCCCCTAGCCTAATAATATTGTCAGACTCTCTATCATCTAAGAAAAAACAAACAAACAAAAAAAAAAAAAACAAATTTTCTTATATGCTTTCTCTAGACTATAAGTACTGCTCCAAATTTAACTGATTGCTGCATCTTTCATTCCATCCTGACCCTACTGACAAAAACTTAACAGCTGTTCCTTTGAACACTGAAGTATCAAACCTTGACCCCCATGTCAGCAATGCTGTTGCTGAAGTCACTAGAAATCTATTAGCAGAATGTAGTTCACCTACGGCAGCCTGTTCTATAAGGGCTAGGCTGGTTGGCTCTGATGGAAAGATTGTTTCCTCCAAAGCACTCCAACCTACTTTGCAGGAATTTTTTAGCTCCAATCAAGGAGTTTGTCCATCACAAGGGGCACAAAATTGGCTGATCCTTGTTGTATAATAAATGATATTTATACTTCTAATATAGTTCATGCCCCCAATAATGTACTACTTCTTATATGGACATTAGGCCCAACAAATATAAACTTGTCTGAACTCTATAATGCAAATGATTCTAGACAATCACATTGCCCCAGGCTTCCTGCTGGCTGGTCAAGGTAGAATATATTTAAATACCAAAACCTGTTGCTGCGTTTGGACTAATGAATCAGGGAAGATGGAGCAATCCATTTCTTACCTTAAAGAGAAAGTAGTATGTCTTGCTAAGGTCAGTTTCAGCAGCACCTGAGACACTGCATAGCTCTGGATGGGGGGCCTTTTTACGATTTATCTTTCAAGTTGGCCTGATCATCCTGCTAGGAGTCATAGTCATGGTCACTCTCATTTTATGTGGCCTAAGACAAACAGAAAAGATTTGGCCCAAGCCCCTACAATTAATCAGTACAGTTAATTAGGTAATCTAATGGGTGAGCTGAACTGAAAATAATTCTTACTTGACTACATGAAAAGTCAGGGGGTAGTTATTGGAAGATGGCTCTGCCACCACATGACCATACATGTCTTCACATAGGCCAGACAGACAAGTCTAACCAGAGTCTTGGAATGCCCTGAAATTCCTCCTTAACCAAGGAGAGATGTTTCTTGTGAGAAACTGCCAAGAGGAGTCTTGCAGAAGGCTGCCATAAAACCATTTCTCACACATCTCCCTAGTTTCAGTTGCACACAGGACTTTCCACCTTACTGCCACAAGCTTTTGTGTAAGTCTAGAACTGCCTGGCTATGGTTTAGATGGCCTCTCTAGCAGATCGACCCATTACTTCTGTCTCTGTCATCAGATCCCTCCAGTTAGTGTCATTCTACAGGACTAAAGATGGTTGGCGACACCATGCTGATATTGTTTTTGCTGTATAAGTAATAAATTGTCTGAATTGAGTTGAGCCTGTGGTCATCTTCCTGGCTGAATCTCTAGAAGTGTGGCAAGCTAACCTAGCAGCTCAGTAGTGGTCCTTGTGGCTGTGTTAGCCACCATGCTGCTGCTTAGGGGCTGCTCAACCACTTGTTACTTAGAGAGGTAGGACTTTCCTCATCTGAAGGGTGAGCAAAGCCATTCTAACTCAGGGGGAAATACTTATGCAAAAAAATAGGGGTGAACAGAAGCAAGACTTTGGCATATTGGGGCAATGAAAGGCTGCAGGGATAGAGCAAGTGGAGAGAGAGATGGAAGACATGGGAAAAAGAAGTTAAATGAGAGATCAGGGTGGTAGAGAAGAAGATACAGTGATGGATCTGGCGGAGAGAATCAGTCTAGAAAGGAAGAATGCCTCCTTCCCTCTGAGATCAAAGAAGTTAGCCTCCTCCATATCGTTTCCAACTCCCACTATCATCTGGTCTTTCTCCTACCAGGTCTCCTGACATTCTGCCCTACTGTCACCACTTTCCCAATATTCCATGTTTTAAATGTCAATCACACTTTCTTGCTTAAAATCCATCAGCAGTTTCCAACCACCTTCAGGTTTGATTCTATTCACTTTAGTATGAACCCTAAGTTCTTTCAAGTTCTGACCTCTGCCTTTTTATTCAGCATTGTCTCCTACCTCTCTTTCAGATATAATCTTCACTCTAGTCATGCTGAACAACTTGCTTTCTCCTTAATGAGCCACGCAAACAGGGCCACTATGTATGGTTGTACAGAATGCACGTTGAACATCTCTAAGAGATGCCATCTGTATTGCTGACATTGTCAATTTGTAGTTATTAGAACTATATTCTAGAATATGGCGGTAAAGTGTCTCATTCTAATAAAATTAATGTGACAATTTTGTGACATATGGAAGTAAAGTACCTTGAAGAAAGGGACAATTTTATAAAAACTTGAACAGATCCTTAGTATGATTATTTAGATTTGGACTCTTCTCCAGCTGCCTTGTCTACCAGCAAACTCTGACTCTTTCTACACAGTGAAGCTCAAACATTATATCTCTTCAAATATTCAAACAGTTTATCTCATGGTCTGGAAATATTTGTTATCACTCCTCTCAAATGTTTAGTGTTGAATTTTTATTATTCACCTTCATTTCATTTTATCCTGAATGAACACATGAGGCGTTCTGGATCAGAGGCAGATTTCTTATTACTTCACAGTAAATAAGAACTTCATGCTCCCCTCTCTCTCTCCCTTTCAGAGTAATTCTCTCCACCAGAGCTATTAATCCCCATCACTGTATCGCCTCAGGCCTTACCCCTAGGCAATGTGAAATTTCCTGTATGAGTGGCCAGATAACTCCATAGACAAGAGACAAGGAAAAATGATTTTTCTCTGCTTATAAAAGTGAAGGAGGCAGTTGTCCTCCTTTTTCTCTCCTAAAAGGGTCTCCTCCTTACTCCAGATGTCCCCAAGTTCCACGGCCTCATTCCTAGCTCAAATTTAAACATCTAGAAAGGTAGCACCCCAGTTTCCCCAGCACCTTCAGAACTAACCTAGGTGCCTATCCCAGGGTATACCTTTGCTTTGAGGAAGATAAGTTTCATTCTCCCTTTAGAGCAGAGTAATTAGCTCTGTCATCAGGGAAACAAACAAATTCAGATCTAATCCTATAGTATGAGAAAATGTATCTAGGAAAAATGGAAGCTAACATTCTCTGTTGAACATATGTTTCTGTGGCTTAGGAGGCTAGAGCTTCCTATAGTTCTGAAAAATATAGAGAAGTTTTATTTTCCGATATCTAGAAGCTACTTGAGGGTAGAGCCCATATAAGGTTTCAATCTGATTCCTTCAGGACACACAACTTTTGTGACTTTGGGTAAGTTATATAATATCTTGAAAACTCCATTTTTCAATATGCCACATTGGGATAGTAATAGCTATTTTTCAGCATTGCTGTAGACTTATAAGAGGCAACAAATGACATGTTAGGAAAGCATTTCCCAAATACCTTTCATTTTCCCTGCAAAAGGGAAGATGGTCTCCATGAAGGGGTGAATAGGGTAGAGAACATTTGAAATAGCCATTATGGGAAATGGATAATGGATTCCACATGGATAACTGGATACCATTGATTTGTCATGCAACAAGTCTATAGTTTTCTCTCCCTGGCATTGGTCTATAGCTAGAGAGCCCAGGGAAAGTGAGTGCGAGGAGATCCAGGAAGAGCCCTTTCTAAAGAATGCACGAGCAATGGCCACGTATGGAGTGCTCAGGGTTGGGAGCATATTTTATTCTACTCTTTTCTCTACTCACATAAATACATTTTTGCAGTTTGGTAAAATAAGTACTCATTGTAATCTTGAACAGGAAAAGAGCCAGTGGTGAGGTTCCTGGAAGGCATGAGGTCTTGCTCCATGCCTCTAGCAATAAGAGGATCTGTGTCTATATAAGAGCCTCAGGTTATATTTGATAACTGTAACATCTATCACTTCCCCTTTCAGCTGCTGCTCTAAGTCTGTCTTAAATGCTGACATATGCCACACATTAGGTGAAAAGGTGGAAGGAGGTAGGGACAAAATTCTAAGAACTTTATAAAATTTCATAATTATGATTGGATAAAACTATAAAGGATAGAGGGTTCAATCATTTTCTCCCCTTTACCTGTTGGGAAAAGCAGTCTAGCAAGGGCCCTGGAAATCTCTATACATCGTTTCTGGGTATGCCAAGAATGCAAAGCCCTGACTACTCATTACTCAAGTTATTTCTCAGGGTTGCATTTGCAGTGAGCAACCTTGAGCAACCAAGTAATATCTTCTCCCAAACACAGAGCGGGCTTACTTAACAAACACTATAAAAGCAAATCCTCCAAGTTTAATATTCCTTGGCTGTGACAGAAATATACTATGTATAACCTGGACCTTTCCCCTTATATCCCAAGAGATTTGGGGGATGTGGGAAACTGGTGACAACATCATGCTCATGCCCCTTTGACATGTTTATTTGTCTCTAATCCAGGCATTTCATGTTTTCTGCTGACATCCATGAAATAGTAACAAGCCCCAGACCTTTCACCGACTCTGAAACTACTCACCTACCTAAGAGAATCTTGACATTGTTGGCATAATCTTCACCTTTTGTGCTTTCCCTCCCACGAAAGAAAGCTGAGAGAGAATGAGTCAAGTAACAAAATAAACTGCTGAGAAGGTAAGAGAAAGCGAGCTGAAGTAAGAGCGCCTTTTCTTTACAGTCTTTCTATTTGAAATTATTGACTTATACGTCTGTCTCCCCCAACATAATGCAAGCTCCTAGAAGTCAAGACCTTTTGATTCACTGCTGTGTCTTAATGAGTAAAGTAGTGTCTAGCAATGTCGAAGCTTAATAAATACTTGTTGAATGAATTAATGATTATTTGGGCCCTGAGCTACCAGGTAGGGTGAATTGGTAGTACTCATAATGGGTCGCTCTGGCTCATAATAGAGCTGTTTGCTCTTGAGCTTCATTTAAGCTATTCCTCTTGTCTTTGTGAATCAGCACTAAATCTTTTTATTTCTGTATGGTTTTTTTAAATAAAAGTCCTTTAAAGAGAATTTCCCCCTAAATTTTTTAATAATCATCTCTATTATTAAAGGAAGTAGAATATGGGGATAGAAAGAAATGAACACCATATAGTGAGTGACCAGTTTATGCTAGATGCTTTACTTGTGTTGCCTCATTTAATTCTCACAACTCTATAAGATTAGTATATTAATATCTCTTTTATATATATGGAAACTTAGGTACAGAGGTTAAATAACTTACTTAAGGATACATAGCTATTAAATGGTATAACTTGCATTTTCTGGCTTTAAAATCCTCTTTTTGATACAGCATTGTATAGGGTTATGTTATATTAATCCTTGGGTTATAGCGAATAGATTTTCCAAAATAAAATTTAGGGTGTAACAGTCAGGGTTCAATATAAACAAACACAAGCAATTCTAGGTATTTTAAACAGGAAGCTATTTAATAGAGGGTGCTTACAAAAATCCATGTCAGGATTGAAGAAGTGAGTTACAAACTGAGCCCCCAAGAATGAATGATTCCAATATAATACAGAGTTGACGTATCAGTGGAGCTATTACTGCTGAGGACTACTGGAATACAGGTTTCAGGAACATCACCTTAATGTAGAAGGTGGAGTCCAAATGCTACTGCTGCCACAACTGCTAAATTGCTTATTGTCTTCCAGGGGGCTAAATAATGGATCATCGAACACCGTGCAGAAAACTAATTCTTTGACCTCAATTATAGGAGAAATACAGCCAAAAGAGATCAGAAGGATGTCCCAACTTCTTTTATGTTTTCTAAATCTCGCATGAGTTTATCTGACAGACCTAATTCATATCCATAGCTGTAGGTGCAAAGACATCTAGGAAATGTTTTAAGCGTCTAGTATCTACATTATGAAAACCACCATAAGAGAAGAGTAGAATGGACATTGAGTGAGCCAACCTGCAAAACTTACCACAGCATTGGGAAAAATACAAAGACTTTTATAGAATCGTATAAATATAATGTATACAGAACATTATAAAATGTTCGAAACTTACCCTGTGCAGGAAAACATATACTATATGATTGCTTGTTTGAACTCTGAACTTTTGACATTAAATCTTCATAGCTATAATTTATCCAAGTAAAAATATCCTCTATGCACAAAATAATTAAGGCCAATAATATGTCTAAATGTGCACGTATCAGAGATGGGAAAATTAGTTGTGATGTAGGATCATTACTTTCATTTTTCTATAGCCTTTTATTTGCTGACATGATTATTGGCATGATTTTGGAGAAGAGGAGTTTTATTTCCACCAGACCCCAGACCTTTCTCTAGATTCTCTTCGGCTCCGATTTTTCATATGTTAACGAAATACTCAAATAGGAAAGGCTTAATAATTTAGTACTCTAAACTTCAAAGACACTTGGCACATCCAGACATTTTACGTGGAGGCTACAAAGCAGCAAAAAGATTTGCCCAAGATCTATGGAGACTGCACTAGAAGCCAGGTTTTCTGACTCCCTGTCCAAAGCTTTCCCATCACAACAAAACCAAGCCTTAGATTGTATGCTTCTTAATACAGAGTGATAACATGTGTATGTGTCGGTGCGCGTGTGGCTCCACTTATATCAAATTCAATAACAGGTAAAACCAAGCTAAATTTTTAGGGAAGCATACTTACATATTGAAATATAAACCAAAGCAAAGAAGTGTTAACCATCAAAGTCTGGTTATTGGTGAAGGCCAGGAGTTGTTACTGGCAAAAGCCACATAGGAACTTTTGGGGTGAGAGCAATGGCTCAAGAAACTCACAGTTTTGTAGGACTCGAGCTTTCTTTGAAAAAATAAAAAAAAACAATGTAATGTATTTGACTTTTTTGTCTTTAATAACACTTAGTTTTAGTATGGTAAAGCCAAGCTAAGTGCTTTCCACAGATCATTTCCTTCAACTCTCACGAGAACACTCTAATAGAGACACTGTTATTACCGCTATTTTATAGAGGAGGAAATTGAGGCACAGCCTTTACTAACCTTTCCAAATCTGCACAGTTAGGTAGCAGACCTGATATTTGATCCATCTGGTTCCAATGTCAGCTACTTAACCACTCTGCTCTGCTAGCCACCATAAACTTAGTGGGTGAGTAAATTTGGATGCCTTTTTCTTTTTATTATTATTTTATAGTCATAAAGATTATAATTATGAAAAACATCTTAATAAGAGAAAAGATAGGTTGCAAAATTATACACACATAGACATAATTATGATTATACCTATGTTAAAAAAATATATATATGTAGGTATAAAAGACCAAAACATAAAACACTGGTTAGAAGATGAAAATATGGGTGCTTATTTCCTGCTTCTCTGTTTTCCAAATTCATTTTAAAGTGGCCATATTAAATTTACAATGAGAAAATGTGCTCTAAAATAAACTTTCCATTTACCTGAAACATAAAATTTCATTTCCACACTCTTCTTTCCTACCGCTTTGTATAATCCTTAGAAACCTCTTGTGCTCAATGAGTGACTTCATTATTAAATTGATAGCACTGGATCATTCTAGCTATGCAAATCACAAACCTACAGCCAGCTGAGGGAAAGGCAGATAAAAGATTACATTAAAAATTAAAGCAACATGTGGAGATGTGGAGATAATGTGCTTACAGTTATTTTTACATATTTAATATTTATGCAATTACAAAGGCCTGTCATGATAAATCTTAAACCTTGAGACATATTCTTTTTGCCCTCTGATATTTTTGACCTTGAACTGAGACTGCGAAATAATATGTAAAAAATGGCTGTGTGAGAAGCATTTCCTTTGATCTATAAATGATAAATGATTTTTTCTTAGAAAGTGATCTCGTTTCTTCCTAGCCTTTGTTTATTTTCGATGCCTTGTATTTTTTCACTCTGTTATATTCTGATCACCCTTGAAAGCACTGGGCTTTCAGTCTTCCACAGTTTGGTTGTGTTGTTTTCTCGTGTTGCTGCTGTTATGTGTTTTCTGTCAGGGGAAATTTACAGGCACATTAGCCTACTTGACAAGCACAATGAGCCACAAGGCTCTCCTAAGGAGAAAGTTCCATGTGCTGTGGTGAGATTTTCTCTGTCTCTCTATCTCACCCTCCCTCTTACATCTTAGTATACCACCATGATTCAGATACAAATCCCAACGACTTTTGCTTATAGGTATTGCCTTGAATCCTGGATTTAATTCTCTGGTTCCTGGTAACAGCATTGCATTGGTTCTGCATTAATTAATTCATATTTCTGCAACAATCTGACTGCAGCCAATGTCTTCACTTACAGCCATATAGATAACCAACTTAATAAGGAATGCATGGGAAGCTTTTTTTCCCTATGGTGGTTACTGACACAAAGGAGATAAAATAGCCTCCAAGATCTGTACAAATGAAAAGCAACATACTTAAATTTTATGGAAGGTATTTGGTGAAAAAATTCTAAAACACTTAACTTACTTTCTCAGTGTCTCATAGAGAAATGGTCAACAAGAATCAATAAAACATTCAAAATTCAAAAACATAAAATGAGACTTAACTGAAAGGATAAGCTGTTTTTCCCCAC